TGTCTTCTATTGCTGTTACCACCAATATTGCCGTTTCCAAAGTCAGGTCTCTGTCCATTGGGTAAACAGGGCTCCGGAAGCACTATCCGTTGATTCTTATGGCTATTCACGTAGCCAGCGTCGTATGAACCGGCTTTACGTGACATCTCTGTGCGCTTTAGGTACCTCAGTTGTATAACCTGCTGCCTGCCTGTTCCGTGATGGAGGACAGCTCCGTCCACCTTTTTTTCCCTCCGCAGGCCTTGTTGACGGCGGTGGGCAGACCGTTCTGATATTTACGCAGCTCGCTGGGATGTCCCGCGTAAGCATCAGCACGGGTATATAGCCTGGATGAACTTCACCTCAGTACAATTCACTTCACTTCACTCTACCCGTCAAGCGAGCGGTTTAACACTTGGATAAGTTAGCCAATGGATTACAACTTGAAGCAGGAGAACAGGAAGAAGTTCCAGGACAAGCAGAGGCTGAAACGGCACCACAAGAAAGACTACTCCAAGGTCGTCAAGCCGAGTGCTGAGGAAGCCGAAGCTGGCATTACAAATGACGCTGAGCCCAAGTTTGACGACGAGGGCAACGAGATAGAGGATCCAGAGGGTAAACCCGCAGTTGGCAACTCGTGGAGGTACAAGGAGGAGCTCACCGTTGCTGGATTGGACGACGAGTCGTCAGAGCTGATCAAACAGATCGACTTCAAGAAGCTCTCGTCACGCGGCATCGACCTCGGCACACCCAAGAAGGACAGGCTTGCTGGCATGACCGACGACCAGCTGTTGCACTTCAGATTCAACACCAAGAAAACTACAACCAGAGCTGAGACCAAGTCAACGATGAGCCCACAGCTCCACACCTCATCAACACCCCAGCACAGGGCACAGCCACAGCCACGGCCCAACAACCACACAAAGACCCCAGCAAACCTCCAAGGCGATCAGTCGTTCCTAGACGACCTTATATAGTCCACTGTATCTCTCCATTCATCAGAGATATTGGCCAAAGAACACCATAGAACCCAATGGAACAACCACTCGCCCGTCACGTGCTCTATTACATCATAGGTTACCCGGCCCTGGAATACCAGAAGAGAAAAACTACCCGGTAGGCGCAACATTATCTCATCGACCTGAAGAAAAAAAATTTTGATTGCAACTTTTCGAGACTTTTCACTTTAAACAAGTTTCAACATCTTTTTCTTGTTATTTCTCATATACAGCAAGACAAAAACAAACAATGGCTATTTCCGCATCGAAGGCTAAGAGAGAGGCCAAGAAGGCTGCTTCTGGTAAGAAGGTGAAGAAGGATAAGTCTGCTCCATCTGAGGAGGCGACGAGTGAGGAGCTGCAAAAGTTGAAGCTGCAACAGGATAAGCACGGTTTGTCTGACAGAGTGACGACCGGTGTTTTGGACTCCTTGGTTACGTCTCGTGATGTTAAGATCTCGTCGGTGTCGCTTTTGTTCCACGGTAAGGTTCTGATCCAGGACTCCACGCTGGAGCTCAACTACGGCCGTCGTTATGGTTTGCTTGGTGAGAACGGATGTGGTAAGTCCACTTTCCTCAATGCTCTCGCAGCAAGAGAGTACCCAATTCCAGAGAACATCGATATCTACTTGTTGAACGAGCCTGCGGAGCCAAGTGAGTTCTCTGCGTTGGAGTATGTTGTCCGTGAGGCCGAGCACGAGTTGAAGAGATTGGAGGACCTTGTTGAACAGATCATTGAGGAAGAGGGCCCTGAGTCCCCAGTCTTGGAGGGTTTGTACGAAAAGATTGACTCCATGGACCCAGCTACCTTTGAATCGAGAGCTGCTATCATCTTGACCGGTTTGGGTTTCAACAAGGACACTATCCAGAAGAAGACCAAGGACATGTCTGGTGGTTGGAAGATGCGTGTTGCATTGGCAAAGGCTCTTTTCGTTAAACCAACTTTGCTTTTACTCGATGACCCAACTGCCCATTTGGACTTGGAGGCCTGTGTCTGGTTAGAAGAGTACTTGAAGAGATTTGACCGTATCTTGGTTTTGGTTTCCCACTCCCAAGATTTCCTCAACGGTGTCTGTACAAACATGATCGACATGAGATTACAGAAGTTGACACAGTACGGTGGTAATTATGACTCTTATGAGAAGACAAGAGCCGAATTGGAGACAAACCAGATGAAATCTTATAACAAACAACAGGAAGAAATTGCTCATATCAAGAAGTTCATCGCTTCCGCAGGTACATATGCCAACCTGGTTCGTCAGGCAAAGTCCAGACAGAAAATCTTGGATAAGATGGAGGCTGACGGTTTAATCGAGAAAGTTGTTCCTGACAAAGTCTTCACGTTTAGATTCTCCGAGGTTGAAAAGCTGCCTCCTCCAGTATTGTCCTTTGACGACATCTCCTTTGCCTATGACGGCAAGCCAGAGCACAACTTGTACGAGCATTTGAGTTTTGGTGTTGATATGGATTCAAGAATTGCCCTTGTTGGGCCAAATGGTGTTGGTAAATCTACTCTTTTGAAGATTATGACTGGTGAATTGCAAGCCCAATCCGGTCGTGTGTCTCGTCATACCCATATCAAGGTTGGTGTGTACTCGCAACACTCTGCTGATCAGCTGGACTTGACCAAATCTCCGCTGGAATTCGTCCGTGATAAGTTCTCAAGCGTCTCCCAAGATTTGCAATACTGGAGAGGCCAATTGGGCCGTTACGGTCTCACCGGTGAGGGCCAAACTGCTCAGATGGCTACGCTGTCGGAAGGTCAACGTTCCCGTGTCGTCTTCGCCCTCTTGGCCCTCGAGAAGCCAAACATCTTGCTGTTGGACGAGCCTACTAACGGTTTGGACATCCCAACCATCGACTCCCTCGCTGAGGCCATCAACTCCTTTGAAGGTGGTGTCTGTGTCGTGTCGCACGATTTCCGTCTGCTGGACAAGATCGCCAAGGACATCTTCGTCGTTGAGAACAAGACCGCAACCAGATGGAACGGTTCGATCACCGACTACAAGAACAAGTTGGCGAAGAACGTTGTCTTGTGATGATGTACTAGATTCCTCTTCTTTTCACTATCCTATATATGCAATTAATGTTGATGTTATCACCATCCAAGTGCCAATTGAAGCCACACCCACAGGACTGAGCCCGTTATCGTTCTCTCTGTAGCTGTAGCTGCAACTGTAGCTGTAGCTGTAGCCGTTGTCAATACAACGGGAAAGAGACAAGAAGCGTATAACACTTTATATTCCATCGTTTCCCCGGAAACCGTCGCTTATGCAACAGCGTGTCCGAAAGCGGGAAAAGGTAAACAGATATACATCCACTTCGATGAAGGACAGCAAAAAAAACAAAGCACGAGGAAAAGGGCAGAATGAGAAAGAATATCGCGAGATGCGAGTGAACGTTGGGTGGAGCTCTTCAATTGGACCGTTGTTGATTCGTTTTAGTACTCTTTGAGGGTCATTCTTACCGTCTTTAACGGCTTCTGGACACTTGCAATTCCAACATTAGCAGTAACGTGTAAGGACAGAACAAGGGAACCAAGGAACAGCGATTTTGGCTGCACGAAGGGTAGAATAAGCCAATTTTTTCTCCAATAATAATAAGCTGCCTTATAAGGACTCTCGTTTTGGTTCGCTGGAATTGGCAGACGTCCACTTGTGTGTGTATATATATGGCTCATGATGGCATTGCACGGTTCGCATACGTCGTCAACGCTGACGAGGTTCAGCAAAACTCACAAGAGAAGACCCACGTCTGTTGCTGGAGACTTACTGAACTCGACAAACATGTACATCACCTCAGACGGCACAGTATTACAGTCATCGCTGGTCAAAGAAGGGTCTCCTTCCAAGAGGAAGCTGACGGGCTCAACGTCGCAAGTGAGGTTTGACCTCCCTGATTCTGAGGAGGAGACGGAGGAGGAACAACAGGAGGACAATGACCATGATTCGTTCCTCAGCGAGGAGGAGTGGGAAGATCTGGAAGACGTGCCTGTTCGAAAAGACAGCTACGATGGTAAGCTGATATTCGACGCTGAGTCCAAACAGGTAATCTCATCTTCACAGAGCAAGTCGATTGTGGACTTTAACGACCCATATGAAGTTAGCCAGTCGATGAGATCGTTACTGCTGAGCAGTGAACAGAGGTCCAAACTGTTCATACGGCCGTTCTCTGAGCTGAACAAGGGCCCTATTGCAATACCTGTTGAGGCCAGATTACCACCACCTCTCTGTGCAAAGAATATCATATCCAAAGCAAGACCTGAAACACTCGTCTATAACGGTATAGACTATGAACCCTTTGATCTGAAACTGGTCACCGCAAAGTATCTGGCGATGAAGGAGCAGAGAAGAATACACAGTGCTTCTTCCACCCCAACTATTGAGAATGATAAATTCCAAGGAGTAGTGATACCAGAAGACTTGTCGAAACCTCTGACGACAAAGGAGAGACCGAAATCTATGACGTTGGATAATGAAAGGGAGATCGCCAACCCAAGCCAGGCTGCAATGAGACAGAACAATGAACTAAACAGAAGGTTTTCGTTCCCTCCAAGGGTCAATCATGCCATACCACCACCACTACCTGAGAAGAATGCTACTACAAAGGAGAAGCCAAAGGGACTGCAGATATTCTCACCTGATGGACCTTTCGTGCCACCATCAGCATCTACTCATAGACGTTCCACTATGCTTGACTCTATGGTGAACAGTTCACCAGAACAGGAGAAATTGACTGTGGAGCATGAAGCTAACTGCAGAACAATTCATCAACCAAGCCCACAGGCACCAGTATCATTTACTCACTGGAGTCCTCAGGAGTCTGTAAAGCCTCTAGAGAACCAAGCACTCAATACGGAGATCCAAACTCTACACATTCACGACAACATTCATATGAGTGGCCTAAGAGAGCCAGCATTGGTTCCACGAGATGACAGCTCAGTATACTCTGAAGAATCTATCCAGGATTCGATACAGGACTCCATTGAAGATTCGATCCAGAATTCCGTTATGGAATCTGTACAATCTACAGAGAAGGACCTCCTAGAAAACGAGGAGGATGCTTCATCACTTGAATCAAACGACTCAGCACAATTGCAAGCACTAGGTAATCTGATCATATCGTCAGGTGGTGATCTCTCGCTAACAGAGGAGCAGATCGAGAAGATGGATCAAATCACTGCAAGCCAATCCCACATATATGACAATCCATTACCTGTCGATGTGTCGATGAACACGAAGCCAGCTAATACCTGTGAGCATGTTGTCAAGAAGACACCAACTGAGCAGGTATCTGTGAAGAGCAAGCCAATTGAAGCTATCGAGACTATCGAATTAACAGATACAGAGGACGAATCAGACGAAGTCCATGAACCAAACGAAGAAATGTCCAGCCAGCCTTTAGGAACACACTGGAAACCTCAAAGAGTTTCCTCAAGGGATACGAAGGAAGCAGACAGAATCCGTGCGGTCTCACAGAACATGATGAAGAAAGCAAACAATTCGCCAATGCTGAGTCAGTCGAGCTATCAATCTGAAGCCACTGGCCTGTTTTCACAACCTTCAAGCACGCTTACAGATGACACTGAAGTGAGCCAAAGGAACTACAACTCTTCTAACCTCGTCATGGCAAAACGTCAGCAGTCCTTTAGAAGCTTCATCCAAGAGATGGATAACGGTGAATTCAGAGAAACCATTGAGATTGATGACGAATATGACGATTATGGTAGAAAGGCCTCTTCTGGCTCTCTCTTCTCCTTCGAAACGGTTGCATCCGAGGTTCAAATGGGTATTCATTCACCTTTGAATTCAAATATCAGAAGGTACACATCGCAGTTGAAGTCAGTACTTGAGCTCTGCGACGAATCAATGAGCGATTCCAGAAGTGTTCTAGAGTCATTGAAGAGACAGAAAACGATCTTGATCCAAAGACGTAACGAACTGATGAAATCACAGAAGAAGGACCTGGAGAAGTTGATGAAGATCCAGGAATTGCAAGACAAAGTCAAACAGGTCCATCAAAGACAGGCATCTGTGAGACGTGATATGGGAACAAAGCGTAACATGGATCTATACTTCGACTATGCCAACTCGGAGAGCTATGACTTCCAGAGCTACATGAGAAATCAATCGTCGTCGTCTATCTCAATGGCTGTATAAGTGGTATTTATTATCATCATCATTAATATATAATATGAGAACATGACGTATTAACTACTCCTCCACATACGATGCCTCAGATATTGGTGATAGTTCCACATCATTCGAATGCATAAACCCGGGTGTAGGTATTGTGAATGAATTGTTTGGAGTGAGATATGCAAACTGTTGTTGATGCTGTTGATGCTGTTGATGCTGTTGATGCTGCTGCTGCTGGTGCTGATGCTGTTGGTGCTCATTTGTAGGAACAGCTCCTGTTGATCGTGATCTTCTGAACAATGTCACTGTCCTTTGGCCAATTTCAAACTTGGTATTTTGAGGCTCTTCGACAGTGACCATGTTACTCCTTTTGATTGCACTGTTCAACGATTTGGACCTTGTGCCAATTGGCCTTACTGGCTTTTCATAGTCATAGTCGTCTGGAACCCCATTGATCTCATCCAATAGAGAGTCGTAGGAATCGTTGTAATTTCCCTTTGGTGTTTCATCATCGGACATCCATGAGTATCTGTTCGTCTTGAACTCTTGTTCAATCCCTACAGGAACTTGATGATACTTTACAGACCTCGTAGACTTCAACGCTGGTCTTTGGAATTCCTCCTCGTCATCTGAAAAGTATTTCTTGTTGAACAACTCCTCATCATCGTTGTACATGTCATCCTCATCGAAATAGTTCAAGTCATCATCAAAATCATCATCTTCCATAAAATCATTAACGTAGAACCCTTCTTGTCTCACCACAAGCTTCTCAGTCACCTCCTTTGGATCCTTGTAGTACCTCACGCTGTTGTTTCGAGCAGCTTCGCCTGTGTCGAACGAGAATTGCGAGCTCTGGTCGCTCGCATCGATGTCGTCAATCTTCAAGGACCCCACGTTGAGGTCAAAGGCAGGTGCAAGGGTCTTTGGCTGATGGTCGGCATCGTCATCGTTATCGTTCTCGTCTTTGCTAACGATCTGCGCCATTCTATGCCTGTTCTTCTTCGAGTTCTTGCCCTTATTTCTCCTAGGAGAGAGCATCTCTGGGATCTCCAGCACTGTGTTCAGAGGCAGTTCAATCGTGTCATCACCAACGCCTTCATCGCCAGCATCGACACCAGCATCGTCACCAGCATCGTCACCAGGACCGTCACCAGCATCGCCTACAACGTGCGCACCACCAAGCTCACAGGGCTCCTCCTCCAGCAGCGTCAGACCCTCTGGAGAGCTGCATGAACCAGACGAGCGTTCACTATTGAAACTGATCCTGTTTGTTCTGCCATCAGTGCCCCACTCATGCGTCCTCGTCCCCACTATCATCAACGGTGGTGAGCTCGACATCGACATCGACATCGACGGCTTGTTGGCTGCTGACGAGCTCGCAAGCATCCCCTGGATGTTCGAGCTCGACGACTTCCCCCGGAGGAACAGCCTCTGCAACTTATTCCCCCTGCTACCACCAGGAGACGTCGGTATGCTCTTTATAGGTGACGAGTGCGTGGAGCCATTGGTCACCTTCTCCTCCAGCACTCCACCAAGCGACTCGCTGTCCAATTGGCTCGAGGAGCCTCTTCTGTGGGACTTCATGAACGATCTCATCTTCCCTCAGCCGTCTCTGCTGCTTATCTGCCCTTTATTTGGTGGAGAGAGGGCATCGTATAAGAAGGAGCAGGGGGAAAATGCCTATATAGCGGTGATCACGTGACATACCCCGGAAGTCGACCAGAGACTTACAAACCGAGGGTTTTCGGACTACTTATGAACAGCACAATACAACGGATGGAGCTCCTTATAACGCCTGGTGTGGCACTGTTGGAGACACAAGTACGACTGTTGGTACTCGTACTGTGCTGTGGTATTCATATAGCGAAGCCGTGGTCAGCTGGAGCTCCCATACTGAAGAGACAGCTGGAAGATCGAGGCTTTAAAGTACGTGATAGGGCTTTGAAGTCGATACAGAACAACGTACGATACAGACGGAAAGAAGAAGTCTTCTTTCCCACCATTGACAAGCAGCCTCCTGAGCAGTGGTATAAGAACCAGGTCGCAATGTCCAATAGCTTTACCAACACACTGAGCAGTTTCAACTGCGCTGAGTTCTTCATGGCTGGAGTCGTGGTGCACGCCTTCTACGACGGAGATAGGCCAAACCCCTTCACCAAGGCGGTGAAGAGCCCGCTGACGGTGTTGTTTCTGCTACATGGCCGTGAGCAGAGTGTCCAGACACACTCCAAGGAGATCGCGTTCAAGTTGCTGGATGAGTATAAAGGCCCGTCACCATTGGTTGTTATCTGCTGGGATCAACGTAACCACGGTGCTAGACTCATTGACCCTGTGAGAAACACCTCTTGGGCACAAGGGAACGATAACCACGGCACTGACATGCTTTCCATCATCGCAGCCTCGGTGGAGGAGCTGAAGTTGCTGGTTGACTACTTACCAACGGCGTTAGATCTCTCTCTGTTTGACGTCAAGAGAGTTGTTAGCGGCGTGTCGATGGGCGGTCATGTCACTATAAGATCCGTTGCCAAGTATCCACAACTGTGGGATGGTGCTGCTCCCATTGTGGGATGCTTTGACCTGTCCTCACTAATGCTGAACAGGCTACACAACTTTGGAGAGGCAAATCTTTATCTAAAGAGATACAAGGACTTGCACGTTGATCCTCTGAAATACCCGGAGGCGTTGTTTGAGCTTGTCTCTAACGACGATCAGCTAGTGCACGATCAATACATCTCCAACAACGTCAAAACCCTGGCAGTCTTCGGTAAAGATGACCCCCTGGTGCTTCCAATGTACTCAGATTCCTTCCTCAAGACTGCCAACGCTTCGATGGTTGACACTATGGATCCAAATGCTCGGTTCCAAGCTATAGGCTACGATGCAAAGCACCAGGTGGTTGATGCCATGCTGAGAGACATAGCGTATTGGCTAGCCACAATATAAACCACACATCCATATATTCAAAATGAAAGCTGTTCCAACTCCCTTGTTGTCTTTGCAGCACCATCGGTAGAGGTGTCTGTATCTATCTTCAGTTTCGCTCTATTCTTCTCTAGCCCTTCCAATAGTGTACATGCTTTACATATCCTATTGCTTGAGAGATAGCCACAACGTTCACACCTGTTACCATCCTTGAAAAGAGATACAGAGCCATCGCTTCTGACCTCAACTTCTGTAACATCCTTTTTCCTGAACTGCTTTCTCACCTTCTTTGGCTTTAGAACAAGATTCTCACCGGAATGAATGATGTCGATGATACAACTTGGTCTAATAGACTCCAGATTCTTCATCAACTCCCTTGCGGTGCCTCTGAATGCCTCTGGTGCGTACGAGCATTCTGTTGAAAAGTAATCCAGCTTCTTGTAATGGGCATATAGCACAATCTCCTTCTGGTACGAGTACTTGAAGGGCTTTGATCTTTTGATAGGCGAGCCAACGCTTGAAGTCATGATCGAGGTGGACTTCTCTAGCCGGGCAACGTCACCACGCAACAGGTTCATCAGCACCGTTTCAGCCATATCGTCAGCATTATGACCTGTGACAACGTGGTTGATACCCAGCTTGGCAGCACCCCTATCCAACGCCTGTCTTCTAAAGACACCACAGTATGTGCAGCTGTTCTTCAACCCAGCACAGCTGACGATTTCGTCCATCGTCCAGTTATACAGCTCTCTGTAGGAAACAATCTCCAAGGGCAGCTGGTACTGCTCCTTGTTACGCTTAACAGTGGCCAATGAGTCGTCTCGATACCCGATGATGCCCTCGTCAATACTCAAAAGCACAATATCAATGCCGTAGTGGTATCGCTCGTTCAGCAGCTTCAACACGTACGCCAGCACCGTCGAGTCCTTACCCCCGGACGCACCAACTGCAACACGCTCTCCTTCAAAGAACAAGTTGTTCGACACGATCGTGTTGTGTATCTCGGTCTCAAACACTTCATAGAAGCACAGCTTACAAATCTTCTGTAGGTTCTTTGGCCTTTTCACTATGGCTTTACGGCAATGGCAGAGCTCACAGAGCTGCGATACCTTCGGTTTCTTCTCCATCGGGCAAGTGCTAGGGCAACAGAGGCTGTAGCAGTGGTAACAGGGGCTGTAGCAGCAGTATAACGAGTATATAAACGGTGATAAAAGCAGTAAAAAGTCGTATAAAGTAGAGCTATTTAATACCGGAAAACTTTTCGGTACGCGCCACACGGCGATGAGATGTGCTTACATAAGGGCTTACGTGAGCACCAGAGTGTTGCTTACGTAAGCAACTAGCCGAGGGCCCCAACCGCATTTTGGCGTATTCAGCAACCAATCGCCGGTTTCCACCGGTTCGAAAGCGGAATCAAGGACATATCGAGCCAATTGAGGACGATCCCAGCACAACAGTACCCACACCACCAGCAAAAACCACCAAAACTGCCCTAATCACCGTGGCTCATTGTACCATTGGGCCCTGCCGTGCTGACGTTTACGCTTGCCACACGCGTGCGTGCTCACAGTTACGCACTTCGGGGGTTAAAAATTTTCCACCTTCCCTCCTTCGCCCGCTGAAAAATTTCTCAGGACCTTCCACTCGTGCTCTACGCCAAACAGTTCACAGAGGAGATCTACTAACAACAGACACAATGGCAAGTCGTTTCTTCCAAGGTGGTGCTTCAGACTCCGAGTACTCGAGCTCAGAAGAGGAACTTCTGTCCTCTTCTGATGAGGAATTCGTCTCATCAGACGAGGAGCAACAACAAGAGGAACAAGATGAGGATGATCTCAGCGATGATTCAGTGTTTGGCAACGAGTCCGACGAGAGTGACAGTGACAGTGATCTCGACTCCGGCAGAGCCAGGGGGCCTGCGTATTTCCTCAAGAAGTCCACGGTGCCAGACTCTGATGATGAGAGCAGCGATGATGAGGACCGTAAAGTTGTCAAGTCCGCTAAGGACAAGCTGATGGACGAGATGAAGCTGTCCATCTCGACGATTTCCAGCTCCAAGACCACCGGTGACTGGGTCTCTGTGCTGTCTGAGTTCGAGAAGCTGGCGAAGAACCTCGTGCGTGCGGAGCAACAGAACTACGGCACGCCCTCTGTGTATATCAAGGCCATTGTTGAGCTGGATGATGACATCAACGATGTGTCCTCCGATGATAAGAAGAAGCTGAATGCCACGGTGGCTAAGGCCTTCAATGCCGTAAGACAGAGAGTGAAGAAGTCCATCCGTGAGAAGCAGTCACTCGTGGACTCCTTCAGAGAGGACCCAGACTCCTTCCAGAAGAAGGAATCCGCAGTGGCATCAACAAGGGAAACCCCAACGTCAGAGACCAAGCCATCGTCACTCAACGCTGAGCTCTTCACTGCTTACAAGGCCGTTGCTGAGAGTAGAGGTAAGAAGAACTTTGACGTGCAAGAAAACATCAAGACGTTGGAAGGGCTTGTGTCCAGTGCCACCTCTCCTTATGAAAGCATCATTGTGTATCTCATGTTGATCCCGTTGAGATTCGACACTGCCAACAACATGACCTACATGCCTGTGGACCAATGGGATAAGACCTCCGAGGACATCAACCAGCTGTTCACCATCCTGGAGAAGAACATTGGTTCGTACCGTGTTTTGGAGACAGCAGAGGCACTGGATGACGTTGAGGTCCCACCACAGCCAAATGCCCAAGGTGTGCGTGAGATCTTGGGCTCAGTTGTTTCATTCGTTGAAAGATTGGATGACGAGTTCACCCGTTCGTTACAGGTGATTGATCCACACACCACCGAGTACATTGACCGTCTTAAGTACGAACAAGTGATTTACTCCACGATCATTAGGGCTCAGCTCTACTCAGAACAGGTGATCTCACAAGATGCCATCTCCAGTGGAACAAACGAACAAATAGCAAGAATTGTATCCAGAAGAATCGATCACATCTACTTCAAGAAGTCTGCCCTTATAAAGATCACCGAGGCATCGGCATGGAGCAAACAATCCACACAGTCCAAGATTGTAGCCTACTCCGCAGACGATGACTCTTACACTGACAGATTGATGGACGTGTTGTCATCCGTGCTGTACAAGCAGTCCAATGCCATCTACAGAAAGAAGGCCATGCTTTGCCACATCTACTACTATGCATTCAACAACAAGTACTTCAAGGCTAGAGATATGTTCCTGATGTCTCATTTGCAATCGACCATCCACACTTCTGATCCTGTCTTGCAGACCTTGTTCAACAGAGCATTGGTTCAACTGGGTCTCTGCGCTTTCAGAAACGGGTTGATTCAGGAGTCCTTTGAAGCATTGCAAGAGATTGCAGTGTCACCACGTCAAAGAGACCTTCTTGGCCAGTCCACTCAAAGATTCACAAACCAAACGTCTGTTGCTGAGAAGCAGCGTGTCCTGCCATTCCACACTCATATCAACTTGGAGCTCATCGAGTCTGTGTTCCTGACATCCTCCTTGTTGATTGAGATTCCTCAGAATGCCCAGCTCGGTAGCACAGTTGACAGCAAGAGAAAGCAGCAACCAAGAAACTTCAGACGTTTCCTGGACTTCCACGAGAGACAGACCTTCCAGGGCCCACCAGAGGGCACAAGAGACTTCATCATGCACGCTGCTAAGGCCTTGCAAGCTGGTGAATGGAAGAAGTCAGTGGAGCTGTTGACATCTATCAAGATCTGGAACTTGTTCTCCAACTCTGAGGCTGTCAAGGAGATGATCAAGGAGAAGATCCAAATTGAAGGCCTGAGAACATTCTTGTTCCAATTCAAGACGTTCTACTCCAAGTTGTCCCTTGCTAAGCTCTCTCAGCTGTTTGAGCTACCAGAATCAAAGGTTTCTGCCGTTGTTTCCAAGATGATCTTCAACGAAGAAATCGCTGCTGGATTGGACCAGGTTTCTAACTCTGTCGTCTTCGTACAAGGAGTAGAGCTCACGAAACTACAGGAGTTGGCCATCTCACTTGCTGAGAAGGCTCAGAACTTGTCAGATAGAAACGAACGTTTTGCCGGTGCTCATCAACCGCAAGGCTACGCTGGTGATAAGTACAACTCAAACACGGACGGCAGACGTGAGAACAGAAACAATAGAAACATCAAGTTTGCTCCAGCAACTGGTGGTGCTACAATCTCTGGTGCTCTTAATGGTATGGACAAGAGAAGAAGAAGAACTGCTGGTCGTGCTTAATGGGGAAATTCATCTACATAGACGTGTTTCGTAACAAGAACTTCAAATGTACATTAAAATGGAAAGGAAAATGTACGATAAACATGGCCTAGGCAAAGTAGCTTCTCCATAAGACACCTTCTAAGTCTTCCAGTTGGTCCTCTGTGAACGATTGACGATCGATGTGCCATGTGTCGGCTCTTAGCTTTTTGAATTGCGATAATATGTCCTTAGCAGATTTTCCAATGATGCCTGGATAGGAGGATGCTCTGGCTAATAACACAATCTGATCAGGCATCCACTTTGGTGGTGGTGATGTGTAAGGGAATGCGGAGATCAGAGCTCCCAACCCAATAACAGCCCCATGGATCTTCACCATTTTCTCAGGAGAGAGATTGTCCCTTTTTACCCTCTTGAGAAGACGCTTCTTGTACTTCTCTATGAACTGATCAACAATGGCCAAGTTCAAGGAGTTGTGTATAATACCGGTGAGCACAGTCGCAGCTTTTGTCCTAACTTCAATGGAGTTATTGAACAGCAGCGTATCAACACGTGCTATCAATTCGTATTTTTGCTCTGAGGATAAAAGAATAAGCTCACGGGAAAACAAGCCCTCGATGAAGGACAACTGGTAGCATAGTTGATGGAAAGAACTGTACGGCTCGTTTGCCAAACTAATAACACCAGGAATATCTTCAGGTCTGTAATCAAGACCGTTTGCGAATTCCACAAAGAATGCATCAAGGGAGATCTGAGCGAGTTTACAGAGATCCCTATAACTATCCAGCTTCATCAGCATAGGAAAGATGTAGTCCTTAATGTATGGGACAAGCTCGTTGTAGAAGAATGACATTTTGGCACCGACAAGCCAGCCAGAGATACTCGAGCACAGGTAATAATATTCCGAGTGCATGGCATCTTGAGCCGTCATTGCTTCAACAGCTGTTCTGGAATCTTCAGCTTTAGCAAACCATGCTTTCAACCGTTTATCAAAGAAGTTTGTCAAACGGAAGTTGGAAACACCAAGATCGAGAGTATTTTGGGCATCCAAGAATTGAGCACAGTTTGCATATGATTCATACATGCACGAATGAGAAAGCGAAGAGAACAACCCACCAATTTGAGTTCGAACAACTTTGTAAGGATGCTCAAAGTTCAGAGAATCAACAATTGGCTCGATGTTTTGAAGTTGCCAATCAATATGCTGAAAGTACACTCTTGCTAGCTTTAAGCGAGATGATTGAGTGAGTGCATGATCAGATTCTGGGTCTATAATCTTTGAAAGAGATAACATCTTCTTGTGGAAAACTGGCATTCTTCGAAAGTCCAACTTAGAAGGCAACCACCAGGAAATGATACTCCAGATACCTGAATATTCGGGTGTTAGATCTGAAGAGAAGACTTTGTCCAAGAAAGTATCGAGTTTGTCGTCTCTCAGAGCAATATTCGCTTCTGTTGTATGATTGGTAGAAACAAACAAACCGCAAACAATCTCTGCTGCAAGAATAATGCTTGCTTTATCTTCTCTATTGTAGATTTCATCTAGCAAATCCAGAATGTCCTGGTAGGAAACCACGGTGAACCCAAGCTCACTTAATTGTACAACAGCAGAGATTAGATAAACATCTGATGCTTGGAACACAGCCTTACTTTCGTTATCAACGGTAACAGATCTCAGAATACTAGCAAGCCACTTCTTATCCACCAAAGCACCGAACTGAGTCAGCGTATCACGATCATCGTCGCTTAACTTGATATAGTCAAAAGACTTATCAGGTGATAAAGCCACGAGGTTCTCCCCCCAGAATAACCAGCCTCGGTAAAATGGACCGTCGACGTAAAACTTTGGATTTTTGAAGTTTTGCATTTCTTGAGAGAATTCCTCATGGAAGTTATTGGTCGTATCAATGATCATCATACCAGGTCTCAGGTAGTTCAGCTGGAAACTCTTTTCAAGACTATACTCATACGATGCAAAATTCATGACCTTGTCAACCATTTTAGAGAACCATGTAATGCAATGTTTGACAAGGGCTGGATGAGAGCTATTTGGGTCCAGCACCAACTGTTTCAAAACATCAGGAGTGGTGCGCAATTCGTAGTAGTCTTGAAGGTTGATCAGATAGTTGATAAGACCAAACTTGTGCTTCCAGTGACAATTTTGCTTCACCAATGAAAGAAGAAGCACTTGCAGTTCTTCTAACTTCACAATGTACTCATGTCGTTTTTTGTCCTTAGCAGAACGGACAGCACTAATCTCAAGGTCAATGCACTTATCTGGTGGTCTAATAGACGAATCAATCTCAGCTTCGTTGAATAGTGCCACACCAGACGGGACTTTGATAGTCTCAGCAAACATAACCATCAAGTTCTTCGCCAAGCTGTTCACATTTTGATGTTCAACATTCGAGCATTTGCTGATTAAAGAAACAACCCTCTCAACGTTTTGGAAATCACCAGAGATCTTTGACGAAAACTTACCATAAAGGAACATCTTCAGTCCAGACTCCAAACGTTTTTCGTCATCCTTCAGGAGAAATTCATCCATCTGATCCAACAAAGATTTCAATATCATGGAATATGAACCAATTATTTTCTTCATGGTTTGGATCACAACAGGATAAGCAGCAGCACTGGTGGTTTCAAACGACGAGGTTACCAACTGCATCAAATCATTAAGCAAAATCTTATCAATCTTTGATGGGAAACGATTGGTGGAATGTAATATGACTCTTTGACGGTGGAATTTCTCAGCTCGAGCTGCAAGGCATGTTCTGGTGAAGGGTTTGACGTAGTTCCCCATGGATTGAACCTTTTTCAAAAACGTGTAGTCAATGAAAATTTGATCGTCAAGATCATAAGAAAACTCTTTCCCAACATCAGAGAAATATGTTCTCACAGTAGAGGTATAAGCGTAAAACAAATTGGTGTTCTCGTTCTTGTGAGACGAAAGATATAGGAAAACTTTGTGCAAGCACTGAGCAATCAAATGTCTTAACGAATGAACGTGGTTGTAACCAAAAGAAGCCTTCTTTTGGGCCGCTTTATCACCAAAGAAATAGTCACATCCATAAATGTTGGCACTTCTGAATGCAAGCGATGTATTCATAACAGCCGTCAAATCATTTTCAAACTCATAAGATGGAGTTAATAATCTTGAAGTTGCACCTTCCTCATCAGTCTGGATAGCACTGTGTTCATCACTTTGAATTTCAGTTGGATCTTGAGGAGGTGCGTCGGTATCACTGATCTCCTTGCTTTCAGGCAAGATCTCTGGGTCTTCCTCCTTGGTGATTTGTTCTATATCGATATTGATCTCATTGGTGTCGCTCTTCTTGGCCCTCAATGAGCGTAGGATCTTCAATTTCTTTTCGATGGATGTGCTTCCACATTTCTCATCTTCAACAGCATTGTTGAAGTCAGGATCGAACAAGATACTCGACCCAGAGAGGGCTGTACCAACATATGATAAGTTTTTGATCAACTCATCAATCGCCAACAAATCTGGTTCCCCTGCTTGAGAGCAAATATGTTCTATACTTGCAAGCGACTTCATAATGACGGTTTCAAAGATGTCAATAGCGCAGTGTATTGACTTATGAGTTGGTACATACCATTCGAATTCCAGGTTCTGCTCTTCAAATCTAGTATCAGAAAATTGATTAGCACCCCATGATTCTGCATACTGTTCCACAGTTGGCTCATGTTTCAGAATTCTGCTCTCTTTAAGCTTGATGTTGGTCAAGTTCTTAAGAGTCTTATGGATAACGTAAGCCGTAGTGGTAGCCAATGATGGATTCGACACCTTTTCATACAACAGGGAGAACAGGTCCAAAACCGCATCCGAGAATTCCAACATGTGTTCATTGGAGACACTTATAACCTCACTAATCACTATGAGGAACAACTCCAATTTCTTATCAGATTCCGGAACTTCATCTCTGGTTCTATTCGAACCTGCACCATTATCAAGTTCCAGTTTAATCAGGCCATAGATATCTTTGAAGACCTTTGGTGCCAGTGAAGGGTCTCGTCTAATCATAGCAGCTGACATATTTGCAATGATTGGGGAGTTATTGACAGTATGACGGAAGTCTCCTTCAAGCAATTTCTCATGAACTATACCGGCCATGTAGTGGAACAAGTCGTCTGAAAGCGATTCCGTAAATATCAACACCACTTGTGTGATTTTGAAGTTGAACTTTTCCGACAGGTCTGTATCGATTAAAAGATACAATTTCTCTGTAAATAGCTTGATCAATTCTCTGAATCCCATGGTGGAAGCCTTGAATGCATTGTTGATGATGCTCTTCTCCGTCTTAAACTTTTCCCCTGGATACATCTTGAGAAATTCCAAATGTTCTTGAAGAAACGTAAGGTTTGTAGACTCAAAGGACAAAAAATCGTCATCCGTGACAATTTCTCTGTAGGGAATGACAGAAGAGAGTGTAACAAAGCAGTTCAAGACATGGTTTGTCAAGTTGAGATCGTTAGTGCCTATTTTATTAACAAGCAACAACAATATTTGAGTAATATGCACACGATAAATTGGATCGTACACTATGAACCTTGATATCTCTGTAAATTGTTTTAACGAGACGATGATTCTATGTGTTGAATTCACAAACTGATCGGTCAAAGAATCATACAAGTCCAACAATATCTTATCGATGAACGTATGCTTCGATGGATATGGAATATCCACCAGGTAGCCAATTGAAGAGATATAATAAGCCGAGACGTTTTCCTTCTTACCTTGTGCACCCAGTAAAACCAAATCCTGAAATATATTAGCAATTTTTTCATTCATTTCAACAGACAGTTTAAATTCATCTGCAAGTTCACATTCTTCCTTTTCCTCTTGCTTTAATCTCTTATGGTATGCATTGATGAACCGTTGACAAAATTTGGCTATGAGTCCAGACCAAGGACCGGGATTCGAAGGATGAACAAATGTCTGTAATGAATTAAGCAGCGTTTCAAGTTTAACAGAAAACTCTTTGAAATTCATTGGCGTGATAGATGATACCAATAGTGATGCAACTTGTGAATATGATTGATCACGGAAATCAGATCTCAAGTTGTTCTGTATTCTGTTCAGGACAAACTCCAGTTGTACATCCGTCAGGATACCAAACCTATGTAACTGATGATATGTCAATTCATTCTTTGATACCGATAGGTACGCCTTTGTTGAAATTTTACTCAACAACTGGAACAAACTTGGTTCTGAACGAACTTTATGAGACGTGAAGTTTGTCCAAATATGGAAGATAGTGTTAATAAACTCCATTGCAGACTCATCTTCAGCAAAGTACACTGGGAACGCAGCAGCCAAGATTGGCAATGAGATATGACACGTTGTTGGATGGAACCTCTGCATTGTCCAATCGAAAACTTCTTTCATTGCGGTCTTTGGGAAGAAATTGGCAGCTCTTGCAGCCAATTTTTGCATAGAGCTGAACGTCTTCTTATCTGCATCGTTTGAGCCTGGATGGTAGATATCAAACTTTGGATCTGGATCTGGATAAAACTGTTGGAAGAACTCCAACATGCACTTATGATCCAATTCCAAGGCACCGCATTCAGAGAGATCTCTAACGAACGAATCAGTCAACATCATAAACATACCGGAGTACGACGACAGTTTGATACTTTGCCCTCTTGATAGTGACAGGTAGTAATACACTTTCGCCAGCGAAGCTCGCAGGGTCAATGGTAGCTCAAATTTCATCTTTAGACAACTGCTCAGCTCATTGGTCCAATGATTCACAGACACAATCGCCGCTGACCGTGGCAACACCTTACCAACCACACCTGATGATTTCACCTCATCTTCTTCGTCGCCATCCTCCTCCTCATCTAAATCAAAGGATATGTCTGCGTTGAAGAAATCCGTATCCAGGGTCAGCTCATCAATGTCGTTCTTCACGGCGGCCAAGTCCTTCGTGGATATACAGACATACCCTTCCAAGTCCAGCGATTTGATCGCAATGTACAAGTGCACAATCACATGTGTTAAGTACCGTGCCTGGTCAGTATGTGATTCCGTACTATACGGCAGCTGTTCAGCCAGTCTGAACGGCACAGCTTTCGACCGTGAGACCCATTTTGACTCCTTGTCCACAAGACACCTCTTGTACTCCTCATAGTCCTCAGGGTAGTCAAGCGCGTACCTTGACAGCCTGTCGCTCAGCAACCTGTCCAGGCCATCGTCCTCTTCCAGGGATGCTTGCATGTTGATAGGGTCTGGAGTCCTTGAGCTACCGCCTAACTTCGACACCAGCTTGGCTCTCTTCGCCATCCCTGTGAGGTCTACGCCTGATCCCGACCTGGTCAGAGCGTTCAGTGGGTTTCTACCAGCAACAGCGGCCAGTGCCGCCGTCTTCAAAGCAACAGGAGCAGGAATGCCCCTGTTGTTGTTACTCTTCTCTTTATGATCTGACATCCTTTAGATGCCCTGTGATGATGAGTTCCAAGGCACACAACAACGGAACACAGCACTGCAATTCACTGACAAAGATTAGCTGATGTAACACTTCTGCTCAATGTCAAAGTATGAGAAGCTCAAATGCAGATGAAGTTGTTCTGCTTGTCGAACGCTGGATGAAGTGCTCGTGTGCGTGGTTTGTGTCTCGGTGCTGTAGGCAGTGTTTCCGTCCGCTGAGGGAGCTCGTCCGCTGAGGGAGCTCGTCCGCTGAGGGAGCTCGCGCCCGCGGTGGCGATGAGCCCTGCCCCGCCCAGCGCGGCCCAGTCCAAAGGGAACAGCGGCAATGTTACTGGGCTGCCCAGCGGGAGCTTCCCTCTGTTGCTCGTATTCCAGGGAGACAGGCTGTTGCCCTCTACTGTTCGTTTCTAGGGGGGCACACCCATACACCCAAACATCCATACACCACAAAGTCCAGACACCCACACACCACCCGCTGCCCAACAACAAAAAGAAAAGTTTATACACGTAAACAACACACAGGACTCAACGGTTCACATCGGTTGCAAATTCGCCCTTGAACGCTCTGTTTCGCCTTACACCGCTCGCTTCACTCGTCTTGACCAGGTCCCACCGCTCAGAAACATACCAGGGAAAGAGGATAGCCGAGATTCCTACGAGATGGGGTTCTTTAGATCGTTGAAGTACTATGCCAAAACCACGCTGGCAATCACCGTGCTATCAGGTTGTGCTGTTTACGGTGTGCTGTGCTCCATTGTGCTGTCGCTCATTGGGAAGCGTCATTTGGCTCAGTGGTCCACCGCTCGTGTGTTCTACTACACCTTCTCAACGCTGTTGGGGATTCGTATTCGACTCATCAATGGTGAGAACCTGGAGAAGTTGCCTGCCATCATTGTGGGGAACCATCAGTCCACGCTGGACATTTTGATCCTGGGCAGGATCTTCCCAAAGGGATGCACAGTGACTTCTAAGAAGTCACTTAAATGGATCCCATTTTTGGGGTGGTTCATGACACTCAGTGGGACGTTCTTCCTGGACCGTTCTAACAGAGAGAAATCTGTAAAGACCTTGAACAAGGCCCTCCAGGAGCTGAAGGAGAAGAAGAGAGCGTTGTACATCTTCCCAGAGGGAACCAGATCCTATGCCCAAACACCAATGCTCCTGCCCTTTAAGAAGGGTGCGTTCCATTTGGCTCAACAAGGTGGAATTCCAATCATCCCAATTGCTGTTTCAAACACCTCTTCATTGATCAACCATAAGACGAGAACATTCGAAACAGGTGAAATCGTCATCAAGGTGCTGGATCCATTGCCAACTGAGGACTTGAAGCCTGAAGATGTTGGTGCGTTCTCTGAAAAGGTTAGAGATGCAATGCTCAAAGAAGTTGACATTCTGGGCTACTCCATTCCTGATTCTCAACGCGATGTGGAATTGACTCAAGAGGACGATGAATACCAGACGATTCCAAACACTGACGATAACAATGAGACTGATGAGGCTGTAACCCCAAAAGTCGATGAAGAGAGAACTACATTGTTGAACAAAGCTTCAGACTCTCTCTGAGATACACACCGTCCTTCTCTCTGTCCGATGCCCCCCAAAACACCCGCAAATATAAATAAGTACACCATATAATACTGCTTAATACTGTCGATACAAATATTAAATGATATTGCTTGTTTCTGAAAACTGTTTCCTTCAAGAATTAACGCTATAAATGTACAAATTTGTCATGAATTGAAAAGAAGGGAAAGAGCAGACGGAATCAAAAAAAAGCTACTAAATCAACATTGCAAGTTACAAGCTAATCCCTTCTTTGACGCTTCTGGTGGTGTTTGAACCCGTTGAATCTCTTTCTCTTGAAGTTCTTGTTGTTGTTGTTGTTACCTCCAAAGTTTTCATTTTGGGCCTTCATCTCAACGTACGCAGGCTTGGACATAATCACTTCGAGCTCTTTACCGTTGAACTCAGGCTTTGGGTTCAACTCGACAAACTTCTTTGCATCCTCCAAGTCCGCAAACTCGGCAAACACACTCTGCTTGAACTCTTTGCTGTCGTTTCTTCTGAGTCTAACCTCGTTGATCTTACCAAACTGTCTGAACCAATCTTCAATTGTCTCCTGTGTGGTCTCGGTCTCCTCGCCAAATCCCTTTGCATAGACAGATCTTTGGAAGCGTAGCTGCTTCTCCGAGTCCTTTGGTGGTAGTATAGGGTTCTTGCGTCTAACCATTTCACCATCCTCAGACACAACGAGGAACGTCGACTCTCTAAGGGCATCCACAACCTTGTCCAATGGTCTGAACTTCTTCATTCTGTTGAACGACGCAATCGTCGCAATTGAAACCCAGCCTTCTTGGTTCGACTGTACCGTGCGCCAGAGGAACTTGTCCTTTGGCAAGTTCGAGTCACTGAAGTAGAACTCAACCTGTTTCAAGACATCCTCCTGTGTAAACTTGGCTGGCTCATCGCTCTCCTTCTTATCAGAGGTGCTCTCCTCAACGGTCTTTTCCACAGCAGGGACCTCAGATGGTTTAACAGCATCTGCAACAGTCTCAACTGGCTTCTCTTCAACAACTTTGGCAACTTCTTCACTCATTTTTTCAGATAATTTCCACAGCTTTTAAAAGTTGATAAAGCTGTGGTTTATTGAGGAAAAAAAATCCGTCGAGGGACGAAAGAAAAAAAAAAAAATTCAGCGATGACATGGTACGGGCCACACATAGAGATGTCCGGGTGTTTTGGCCATCGCAGTGGTGTCCGGATGTGTTTACACCATGGGAGACCGGTATGGTAGCGCAGTATGGAAGCATCTATGGGGTGAATAACGGTGGGATTTGGCATGTGAGTGTGCCTATGAGCTGGCATTGCTCCACAGGAGATGGCCAGCGTCGGTGGCAAGCACAATATCGTGCGTTTGTTGCAAGAAAACCGGTGGAATACAGCTCCATTGGCAATACACGGGCTTATTCTGATGATGACGATGGTGCTGGAGGGTCATTCCACTCTCAAACTCAACACCCAGACTCGTAGTGACGATGGCCGTGCCGAACTGGTGTCTGAGCCGTTGTAGGATCTTCGCGAGAGCGGTGTACTCCTCCTCGAGGGTTCCATCAACGAGCAGGTCCCAATGGAACACGGAGAGGTCATCGATGACGAGTAGCTTCAAGGGGAGGTCCATGCGATCCAGCTTGTACTCCAGCATATCCATTAGACACCGCAGTAGCTGCGTGAAGCTCTCTATATCTGTTCTGAGTGTGATTTCCGTACCAAAATGCCCACCCAGCTGCCTCTCCAGATGGCGTGACCATAGCCCAAGGTCCACCACGACAGTCTGTCCACTCGCCTCTCTTAGAGATTCAATACACGTCCTGATGACACCAGCCCGTTGCCCATGATCGCCACATACAACGTGTAAGTGTCCAGAGCCCTCAATTGCACCAGGCAACGCGACAAAGCGTTCTACCGGGCTGATGAACCGTTGAAGCCGTTAGTCTCAACCTCTCCAAGCACCTTAAAACTAGCACGACTCACTTGTCGAAGCGTAACAAACTCCAGTGAATTGACCAGCTCCATTGTTCCACAGCTGCTGTTCAACACACCCTCACCAAACACCCTCACCAAACAGCAGCACGAACCAACTGTGAGCGTGTCTTCATTGCTCTAAACACCGATGATGGGAGAACATTGTGGGAAAAAAGTGCGAGCGAAACGGCATCGAAGCTGGCTTTTCCTCCATCACCATGAACAACCCATAATTATAGGCGGTAAACGATAAGCAACGGCAATGGCACAGAGGAATCGTTCACAAGGACACGGCCCAGCTCTCACACAGCGAGAGCGGAAGCTGAGAAAGGCGCCACGGGCTGAAGATGCTGTTCCAGAGGAGCCAGAAGGACACGTTGAGCCGAAGCCAGCAGATGCTGCCTCTTCACAGGCAGAGCTCTTCCCCCAGGAGAGGCTCCTCATCTGGTTATCAGGCTTTGTGAAGAACCACTTCACCACTGACAAGTTCATCCAGCTGTCTGTGCTGGCGTTCTCGGCACAGCAAGCGTACCTGTACCACGATGACTCGTACCAGTCCGCTGAGGACGTGAACCTGTTGATATCAACAGCATGTGGCGTCGTGGCTCTACTAGCCGGCGTGGTCATTGCCTTCCGCGTGAAGTCTCAGATGAACAGAGACACAGACCCTTGGGACGCCATGCCGCCATGGAACACGATCTACCTGGTGTTTCTGCCCTTGATGATCCCCTACGTGTTGAAGAGAGAGCTGATGCTGTACAACTCAGCCTTCATGACGTCGGTTCTGGAGCTGCCAGCCTTTGCCAAGTTCGTCATCCAGTGCTCTCTGATAGGCTCAAACACCCAGCATCCTGATGTGATGGCGAACGCAAAGGTTGTGGCTTTGAACCTGGCGGCTCATTACATTCTGGGCAGAATCTCGGAGTTCAGGTCGCTGGACAAGATTGAAGTCACGCTCTTCGCCACACTCATAACTGATCTATTCCTTATTGAGTCAGAGGAGCTGTACGTGATTGTCCTACAGAGACTGTTCATCGCCTACGCGCTGGGCCTGGGCTCAGTGTACGGGATCGTCCAGCTGTGGAAGGAGAACACTCTGGCGAGAAGCGTGCTCGTGCTGGCCGTATGGGGAACAGTGTTTGTAGCCTCGTCGCTACTTCTTCTTGAGCCCGTGTTCAACGCCAATGCACTATACTGGCTTGTGGATTACATTCAGATGTCCCAGACCAGGTGCTACATTGTTGGTGTCTGGAGCACTTCGTTGTTGCTGCTGATTCCAACGGTGTTCAACTACAAGATCAAGCTGTCTCAGAACTCACGTCGCAAGATCTGGCACTTCCTTGTTCTGGTGTTGATTGCACCATTTTTACACATGGATCCTGATTTTGTCAAGCTGGCCCTCGCTGGTACCGTTATCCTCTTTCTGATTGTTGAGATGGTGAGATACTTGAAGCTGAAACCGTTTGGCGAAGTGCTAGACGCTCATTTGAGAGAATTTGCCGACTTCAGAGATGAGAGGGGCCCCATCATCATCTCTTACATATACCTGTTCGTGGGCATCACGTTGCCAATTCTGTTCGACAATAGCGTTGTGGGACTAGTTGTTCTTGGAGTTGGAGACTCGCTGGCATCCATAGTGGGCTCCAAATGGGGTGAGATCCATTGGTCGAACTCGACAAAGACGCTGGAAGGCACCATGACCTTTATCCTATCGACATTCACGATTTGCTCACTGTTCAAGTTCCTTGACTGGTTCTTCATCGACAAGTCGTACTACGCACTGTTGCTGACGTGCACTCTAAGCGGACTACTGGAGGGCAACAGCGACATGAACGATAACATCATGATCCCAGGATTCATGGTTGTCACGTTGGAATCTTTGAACTGAGTACAGTCACCACTTCCGTCGTGTAATATCGAACATATCATAACGTTTAAACAAGTGCAAGAAACCACAACTAGAGCTTATAGATGTATGTAAGAAACAATGTATATATATCAGGACGTTGACGTCGACACAATGGCCTCTGCAGTGTGCGCAGCCTGTGTGAGAGTTGGCGTTCTCGTAAGCCTCTCACTGGCAGCGTACCAGCCCCCGTTGGCACTTGGATCAGGAGCATGAGAGGCCCAGTTGACGCCAGAGCTGATGGTATAGCTCCAGCCTGGAGTTATCGTCGTCACCTGTGCCAAACTTGATGAGAAGGACGTGAAGTACGAAACCTCTGAAGTTGGGAAGCGACGCGTCCAGGAGCTCTTATCCATGGTGATCTTGGTTGGAGGCTGTGTCTGCATTGGGGCATATCTCGTTCTGCCCGTCTGCGACAGATAAGGCACACTGAACGACCTAGAGTCGATGGACACCATCGTGTTATCACCATTCTCCAGCGACGTCTGTGCGTCTGGTGGCTTGGTCACTGCACCAACAGTAGGCTCGTACGAGCCCGTCATGCCTTCCAGCAAGAATCTGTTACTGTAGTGGATGGTCCAGCCGTTAGTCGCAGTCGCGTAGATCTGGATGTAATAGTACCCATCTTGGCCAACATCGGAGTCGATGGACAGGTCATAGGTGTAGCCAGAGATGTCCGACGCCTTGATCTGCTTAGCCAACGTCTTCACAGCCTTGATGTTTGCGTTGGGACCTGTGCACAGCACAAACGTGTACGACTCGATGTCCGTGAGCTTTGGTTGCGCGTTGGACTCGATCCACGTCACCGACACCTTGGCGACACCGTCGCTCACCTCGTACGTCTGCCCTGTCAATGGCTTCGAGATGGACACGTCACCGTGGGCCAGGCGCACACAGAGCGTGAGCAGCAGCAGCAGCGCCAGTCTCGCTGGAGCCCTGAACGATGCTGTCATCATAGCTTGCGAGTTTTGTCGTCTGAGTGCTGGCTTGTACGGGGCTTTGTTGCTATGACGTATAACGGTTAAAGGGTCAGAATCTTGCAGTGCTTGTACGGGGTCAAATTTCGCTTGGAAACACACACAGCCTAACAACCACACGATATGACCGTTGCTTAGAACTCTGCGGAAAATGGGACGGAATACACAAGCGGAGGGAGAAAATGTTCACACACACACCAGCACAGCTTATAAACACAGCTTTGGCGTAAATTGAGAGCTTAAAGGTGAATTTTTTCCTCTCTTGTTTATGTCCTGGAGGAGCCGACGGAGGTTTGTGAGGTGAGTGCTCTTTCGCCCAATGTGCACAACGTTGCATTTGCGCTTCCCGATTGGGCAGTTTGTGTGGCGCAGTGCGTCGGTTGGGGCACGTAGTAATGTCCTTGCGCGTCTCTGGCTGTGGAACGACGCTCGGTTTAGCAGGTGAGTGAATGGGGGAGTTTTACGTGTTGAAGCCTGCCATTTGGGAGAGGAGTTGGTGGATGGCGTATTTTGGTGTCGTGAGGTGCGGTGCCATGCTGGTGCTGTTGTTGTTGGAGCTGCTGGAGCTATTGTTGTTGGAGCTGCTGGAGCTATTGATGTTGGAGCTGCTGATGCTGATGCTGCTGTACTGAGTGGCTCTGGGGCTCGCTGGGCTTGTAGTGTCAACACCACGCCGGGCCTACTCGTGTGTCCTTCTGCTATACCACACACACATCAATCAAAGCACTCTGTCGTCTCCCTCTGAAGAACTCGCCCTGCCTGGTGGTCCATGGGCGAAGGATGTCTCCACGTTCTGGCCCATGTCCTCCTCTTCAGCCACTGTCTTCTAAATTTAGACTGCACATTACACCCAGACACCACTTGCTTCGGCGTTATTGCCGGATTGGGCCTTCCACGGGGTTGGGATACACAGCTTTGTTAGACATATAAAGAGAGAGAACGCTCAACACCTTCAAAGTTGGTTTGCTTCTTTGCTGAGGTGCTACGTCTATGTTGCTTCCCCTTTGGCGTTTAGTTTCTCCACATTGCACATCATATCAATTGGCTATAGAATGTCAGTAAATGTAACTTCTCAGAGCTCCTTCAATGCAAACCATTCACTCTACGATAGAGTCAGACCAGAGTTCGATAAGGCGTTCGTAAGCAAGTTCATCGATTCAGTGGGTATATCCAAGGAGAGCAAGGTGTTGGAATTGGCTGCAGGCACAGGCAAATTCACAAAGCAACTGTTGAGCAATGGGGTTTCAAGGGACCAGCTGATCATAGTGGAACCAAGTGAGGGAATGTTGCAAAGCTTTGAGAGCAACATCCCCGGCTTGGAGACACATTTGGGCTCAAGTTACGAAATCCCCTTGAAGGACTCCTCTGTTGACTGTGTCATTGTAGCCCAGGGGTTCCACTGGTTCAGCGACTCGCAGAGCTTGGAGGAGATCTCGAGAGTTCTAAAGCCAAATGGTAAACTTGGTCTCATTTGGAACTTTGACACCATAAAGAATAACAAGAACAATCCGCAATTGGATATCAAAGATGCAGATTTGCAGGATATGACAACCTGGCAAACAATTGCATTCGAAGCGTATAAATACGACTCTAATGTGCCACAGTATAGACATGGAAATTGGTCTAAAGTGTTTGAATCAACGGATTTATTCGACAAAACCAAGATTGATTCGCAATTCCGTTATTCCATTTATCCATTCCCGAAAGATCAAGTTTATAACTATTGGTTATCCAGATCTTACATCACTTCTTTACCAAATGATGAGAAGGATAAGCTCCATGCAACTGTGAAATCATTGTTGGATGAAGCACCTGAGAGCTCTTTTTTCGATGACCATACTGTCAAGCAATTCCTGGGCTGTCATTTCTTTGTGATTGAAAAGAAGGCCAATTAATGATTATCTGCCATTATATCGCGTATGAAATCCCACGCACTGAATTTGATCTGTTCTGTAGACTCCATCATGGGCATTCCTTTGAAGAACCTCAGTCTTCCGTCTGCTCCCATCACTATGTATTGACATTTAAACCTGTATAGCTTGAGCTTATGGAACTCTAACGTTGTCAGCGTTTCCAAATGGCTCAACAAAGTCTTGAACAATGCATCATTGGTGTCATCCTCTTGAACAAATTTCAGCAGGTCCTTATTCAGCACTTGAACTGAGATTGTGTTTAACATCCCCTGTGTCAAATGTGATGTGGAGAATGTCAACTCAACATCGCCGAGTTTCGACTTATCATCCAGGTTTGTAGCGATGGATGTCAAACATCGTATGAGAAACGAGGATTCGAATCTCACGGGTTTCCAGACATACCCGAACTCGTTCGATACCCAGTGTGTCATCAAATTGTCCAACTTGTTGAAGCTTCTCGCTATCACTAAAGATTGTGTCTTTCCACCAGTGGCGCTGATGATTGTATAGCTCTGTCTCTTAAAGACGTCATTGGGAAACTCCAGAGTAATGGAGACAATCGTATATTCCTCCTCCTTGATGATCTTTGCGCCCTTATCAATGGTCACGGTAGTGTAATCTCGTAGTTGTTCCGGTGTAAGATCCATCAACGCGCTAGAGGCGATGAGGTCTTCATCCAGATCCATGAGCAGTGCAACAACTATGACTTTGAGCCCTGTGATCGTGGTGGGCGAGTTCCACACATCTGGATCAGTGGCGGAGGAGTGAAACAGTCTCAGCGGTGCTAATGGGATACTCATCGTCCTTGGTATAGTATCCCTTGTATAATATGAGAAGAAGAGGAAGAGGAAGAAGAAGAGGAAGTACTAATCTGTTTGTTTACATTTCGGAACTGGGGATTACCCTACCGATGGAAACCCACACCACACTGGCAGCTCCATATATCACCGTCATCTACAGCACGAATAGCCGAGTATGACGGTCCACAGGCCATTGGGAGTATCCACGAAGCTCTGCACTCATAGGCGTGGTTTCTACGTCTTCCCCGTGTTATTTCTTCCATTTTTGTTCTCCCTGTAGACGGGCCTCTCTAGGCAGGCCCCTCCTTCTAGGCCCCTCCTTCTAGGCTGGCCCTTTCTATGCTGGCCCCTCCTTCTAGGCAGGCCCCTCCCCAGCCCAGAAGAGCCTCTCCGGGCGGAGCGCGTCCCACAAGATCAAAAAGCCCAGTGAAGAGCACCGTACACACCCACAACTCACGCACAACGGACAAAAGCTCGAGCACAAGCCCACGCACACGCACACACACACAGGGACAAGACGCTAAGAGTTGACGAGTGAGAGTAGCAAGCGTATAAAAGAGCAATGAGTGACTTTTGGGAAAACAACAAGGACTCCATCAAGAAGGGAAGCTTGAGTGCGATGAAGACCACTGGTAAATACACCTGGGCTGGTACTAAAGCACTGTCGAAGGCCGGCTATAACGCAGCGAAGAACTCTGGTGATAACGGTGGCTCCAGCAAGAGCGGTGGTGATGGTGAAAGCGGTGGCGATGGTGAAGATGGCGACGGCTCTGGCTATGTCGGGAGCACAAGAAGCCTGAACAGTCTTGGTGATGTTGAAAGGTTCCCACCGCCTCCGCTGAAGCCAGGACAGAAGCAGTACCACAGCGAGAAGCACGCACATGCTGGTACACCAACTGGGGTTTATGAGCAGGGTGCTGTTGTTCCACAGGCTGGTGCTGGTCAGAGTGGGATGCCGACACCAGGGGCCCAGTCTGTGCAGTATCAACAGCCAGTGGGTCAATCGGCTCAGCCTGTGCAGTATCAACAGCCTGTGCAGTATCAACAGCCTGTTCAATATCAACAGGCGGCGGGACAACCCGTTCAGTATCAACAGCCAGTGGGACAACCTCTTCAGACTGCTCAGCCTGTGCCATACCAACAACCAATTGTACAGCCGGTGCAAAATGTTCAAGCTGCTCAGTATCAACAACCAGTATCTGCTCAAGCACAAGCACCACAGCTACAGCAAAGGGCTGTTCCACCTCCACCTCCAAGAAATGGAAGTGTTACTGCTCAACAGGTGCCTGTGCAACAAGTTCCAGGCCAGACCATCACCGTGCCTCCAACACAGGTTACCGTGGGTTCAACAACGCTGAACTTGCCTTCTTACAATGTTGATAAACAAAAGGCCATGAATCTCTCTGGGCAACTGATGTCCCAAGTATTGCAGTCACAGCAGACCAATGGTCAAAATGTCCAAGTCGAGCAGCAACAAGGTCAGCAACAAGGTCAGCAACCTCAGATACAGGTGCAAGGACAGCAGTTTCAACTACCTAGTGCACAGGCATTGAATCAATTTGCTCAAGTAGCATCCAATGTTCAGATTCAACAGCAACCACAGCCACAACAGCAACCGCAGGGACAAGATAATCAACAGAGTGTTCAGCAATCCAGTGGATCAACACAGTTTGGAGTTCCGAATGCTCAGTTGATTGGTCAAATCGCTCAAGTGGCCTCCAGTATTAACGTGCAACAGCAGCAACAGCAGCAACAGCAGTCACAACCGGTACAGCAACCAGTACAGCAACCAGTACAGCAACCAGTACAGCAACCAGTACAACAACCAGTACAACAGCAGCCAATCCAAGAGGTTCAACAATCTGCTGTCTTTGATTACAGTACTTCTTACTATCAAGGTGCAACTTCTGGTCCTCCTGGTCAACAAGCTGTAATGGAGGAGTCTATTCAACAAGAAACTGTTTATCAACAACCGCAACCAATTCTACAACAGTTCCAGCCTTCTCAACCACAGCTTGGTCAACAGCCAGCTAATACAGCACCATCACCTCCTCCAGTGGCCACGAGGGATTACAACAGAGCTGCCGTTCAACCTCCTGCTCCACCATCAACACAGCAGCAACAGACAATTCAACCTCAACAAACATCATACTTTCCCCCTCAACAAACTCCAATTCAAGAGGTTTCCACTCCTATGACACCAAGTGTACCTGTTGCACCAAGGTTAGCATCACCATTGCATACTCCTTCAACCCCTGCTATCACTACAAATATACCAAATTATCCTGCTCCACCTAAGAGGGTCGATATTCCAAGTGGTGGTGGTACAGTTGTTGGAACTACTTCTGGGCCAGTCAATGAAGAGTCCAGTGAGACTACAAAGGCAGCTGAACCTGTAGAGGAACCCGTTTCCAAAGGAATTGCCGGTACCTATGACTACAAGATTGATGTCAAATTTGCACCACCGCCACCACCATCTATAAATCGAGGCGAAGCTGCTAGTAGACCATCATATTCTTCGTCTCACTCAAAGACTTCTGTGCATTCCAGCTCGAGGCCATTACCAACACGCATCACATCAAGTTCACCCACCATTTCAACAACCTCTTCTCCTGGAAGCTCGCTATCACCAGACAACTCTGGTCGTCAGCTACCACCACCTCCCCCAGCCAGAACAACATCGCAAGCAACCACACCAGTCACAAATTTCTTGCCACCTCCTAGACCAACAAACCCATTGACCCACCAGGTGAATGAGATCCATCATCATCAGCAGCAGCAGCATGGTCAATACACTTTACATCAAACAGAGCCAATTGCGGCCCCATCTTACACTGAAGCTACAAATGAACTCGAACAGTTGCCTTTACAGCAGCAGCACATCACAACTTCTTCGTTTGCACCACCACCAAAACCATTTAGAAGGTCTCAATCTCCAATGGAGTCTCCAGCTGTTGTGGAAGCTCCAGTTGAATTATCTCAACCAGTGGAACAGGTGACAGAACAGGTGATAGAGCAGGTGACAGAACCAGCACAGCACTACGAAGAGCCAGAATTAGACGTCTCTGAAGTGTCCATCTCTGGCGAAGCTGCAGTTGAAGAAGCTAAACCAAGACTCAAACCAAACGTTCCATCTAAGCCAGTGTTTGACGTGACCTCTGAACTTGCCAACGTCAAGTTAAAACACGTTGGTGGTAAGCCTAAACCACCTATTCCGTCTGGTTCGAAACTTATTGTTCCAGCTAAGAAACCAGAGGTGGCAGCAAAGCCAGTGGCATCTTTGAACAAGCCAAAACCAGTGGTTCCCTCGCATAAGCCGGTGACTCTGCCTGTGATAAAGCCACACGAGGTAAAGAAGACCCCACCACCACCAGTCAAGCCCAAACCAGATGCACTCAAGAAGGCACCACCACCTGTTAAACCAAAACCTATAGCCTTGGAGTCGCGTCCTACCACTGATAGCATTACAAAGAACACGTCCTTCAACTCGGGCGTTGATGCTAGTTCTCAACAGGATGACGATAACCCATTTACAAGGTACCTGAAGGCTGCTGTTCCACAGGAGAAGGACAGGTTCCATAGAAGATGAAGAGTGCTTTCCGGGAGGTTGGGTATATTGAGCCACCATCCAGGTCCCAAACATCTATATGGCCTTTTGTCGCTTTCTTAGAACACTTGTTCCAGGGCCAGAACCAATGTCGTGTGCTTACATGTTGGCTGAGTGGATGTGAACTGCACCACTACACGCCTAGTTGAGGTTACATGACGCGTCGCACTAAATGGCTGTTGGGTATCTCCAGTGAGTTCTAATTATAGATAGCTGATTGAGAGCTCTTTGAGTGGACCATGAAAGCTCGATTGTAAGTCACGAAGATGGTGTAGGGCTGTGAGACTCTCATTAGGAGCTGGAGAACACAGTCTTGGAGCAGAGCTTCAGGCATTATACACGTTTTGACTTCAATCTTCATATATATAGCCATTCTATGATCAACCTCCTACATATGTCGACAGTCGAGTGAGTAGAACAGGTGCCAACATTGGTAAAAGTGGTAAGGTATTGTATTGATAATGAGGAAAAAAACACTCACACGGAGAGATCCGTTTACTTGGACAAGAGAGCAACAAACTGCTCGATATTAATCTGTCCGGTACCGTCAGAGATCTCGTTCAGCATCAGATCAACCTCCTTGTCGTCCAGCTTCTCGCCGATACTCGTCAACACGTGCTTGAGCTCCGCAGCTGAGATGACACCGTCGCCGTTCTTGTCAAACACCTTGAAGGCCTCCGCCAGCTCCTGGGCAGAGTCATTTGTCTTGAGCTGTCTCGACATGAGCGCCAGGAACTCCGAGAACTCAATCTTGTGGTCACCATTGACGTCGATCTCGTTCATCATATCAGCAACCTCCGACTCAGACGGTGTGAACCCCAAGGAGCGCATCACCGTGGAGAGCTCCTGTCCAGAGATGTGTCCATCCTGATCCTTGTCAAAGAGCGTAAACGCCTCTCTGAACTCCTCAATCTGATTGTCTGTAAGCTCTAACGACTGCCTGTGTGTTAGTAAACCGCGTCGCACACGCTAACATCATCAAGATGGTGCCCATTGTAGTATTCCCGCCCTGTGCCATGGTGTGTGGCAAAACAAAGGTAAACAAACAACAACACAGGGATCCAAAGGTCGTGCGGTACAGCCATGGCCGCGTCATCGGCTTCCTCAGCAATCACACGCCGTGGACAGGAGCACTAGGCAGCACAGCGCTCGGATCAGCTTCACTCACCATGATTAATCACACAATTGGGCTTTGGCTTGAATATGTTGGAGCCTGTTGAAAATGCTGTTGTGTTTCGCAGCTTTTGGTGATGGAGAGGGCCAGCAGGGAAAAGTGTGCGCAATCCTTTCCGAGAAGCCGTGACGTTGGGCTGTGGAGGTAGGGTAATGGGAGACACCTGGACACCAAAACACCTGGACACCAAAACACCCGGACATTAGTGAAAATATACACCCGCACACCCAAACACCCGCACACCCAAACACCCGCACACACATCAACATGGCACCCAAACTTTAGTGGGGGTTAGGCACATATCGCACACACGCTTCAAAGAACACAGCGCAATAGATCACTCTCTTGCTCAATTGAACCCCAGATGGCTTCATTCGTCACGGAATTCTTCAATTGGTTGAACTACCCGCAATGGGTATACTGGCTAATCGGGATCTACCTTCTATTGCCGACGATTTACCTCATCGTGCCCTTCATCTATGGGAAGAGATCTCAGCACCCAAGAGTGGTTATATGTGTTCTCGGTGATCTGGGACACTCGCCAAGGATGTGCTACCATGCTAGAAGCTTCAGTGCTAAGGGATATGACGTTGATCTATGTGGGTACCTGGAAGAACTGCCACCTGCTGATATCATGGACGATGAAGACATCACGATCCATGCGATTCCAACGGTGAAGAACACCGGTGGGAACTATCTTGTGTTCATCGTACGCAAGGTGGCTAAACAGCTCTTTGCCCTGGCTTTGCTACTGTGGGAACTACGGGGTGCACAGTATATAATGGTCCAAACACCACCGGGGATCCCAATCTTGCTGTTAGCAGTGCTGTACAAGCTCTTGTTCGGGTCCAAGCTCATAATCGACTGGCATAACTTGGGTTATAGCATCCTGGCTCTGAGATTGGGTGACACTCATCTCCTCGTCAGGCTGAATAAGCTCTATGACCACGTTCTCGCCAGGTTTGCCGATATAAACTTGACTGTGACACAGAGGATGAAGCAGTTCCTGGTTGATGAGTTTGGCGTGAACAAGTCCAAGATCGTGGTGTTATACGATAAGGCTGCTTCCCAATTCAAGCCAATTGTGGACCCACAGGAGAAGCTCAAGGTCATATCAAGCCACGGGGAACTGTTCAAAAACTTCTCTCCTTCGAGCGACAAGATCATCGTGTCTTCCACCAGCTTTACCCCGGACGAGGACTTCAACGTTCTTGTTGAAGCATTGGTGAAGTACGACACCTTGCACGACGACAACTTGCCAAAGCTGAAGGTGATAATCACTGGTAAAGGTCCACTAAAGGAACAGTTCCTCAAGGCCATTGAGGCCGCTAATTTACAGAAAAGCGATGTTCAATGTGCATGGCTAGCAGCAGAGGAGTATCCAAAGATCTTAGCAATTGCAGACATAGGAATCTCATTGCACACCTCGAGCAGTGGGATAGACCTTCCTATGAAAGTGGTTGATATGTTTGGATGTGGAGTGCCTGTTCTTGCGCTAGAATTTGATGCTCTGCCCGAACTTGTTGATGATGGCATCAATGGCATGAGAGTACTCGATGCTAGACAGATTGTGGAATCCTTCATCTATCTCTTCCTACAGCCGTCGAACTACGAAGTGATCAAGAAGGGAGCAATGGAGAAGAGCAAGCAACGGTGGGAAGCCAATTGGAAGGCTCAATTTGGTGATTTGTTACATCCATGATCGGCTTGTGAATTGATTCGCCAACAGATCTATATAATCCTGGGTATTCTCGTCAATCATATTGTGACCTTTATCGTTCCAAAACTCGTACTCCTCCTCCTCTTCACTGTGGGTCTTCTGTAGCTGAGCCATCAGTGAGTCCGGTAGGATGTCAAACTCAGTAGAGGCCTGTAATGCCACGGAAGTGATATATGTCCAGCATCGGGCCACCTGAGAGTGGTTGTATCCACCACCTCCAAGTAGCAATGACGGCAGCTCCAAGTCCAGCAGCTTCACAACGGCATTGGCGAGTCCCTTTATGGTGAGATTCCACTCCTGGTGTTCATCTGATCCCAGGCCATCGGCACCACATTGGATCACCAGGCACTGAGCCTGGAACTTGTGGATAACAGGGATGAAACACCTGTCAACGACATCGTTGAGGCTCGAATCTCCCAGCCCATGTCTCATCGGGGCATTGAACGTGTATCCCTTTCCTCTGCCAATGCCCTGGTCGCCCAAATCGCCAGTTCCTGGATAGAAGCCAATGTCCTTCCTGTGGATGCTCATCGTCACCACGCTATCTGAGAACTTGAACGCACTCTCCACGCCATCACCGTGGTGTAAGTCCAGGTCGATGTAGACGATCCTCTGGAACCTCTTACGCAGCTCCAGGATCCCCAGAACCACGTCGTTGACGTAGCAAAAGCCAGCAGCCCTGGACTTCTTCGCATGGTGTCTACCACCATGCCAATTGATCACGATCGACTCGTTGACGGAATGGACAAGGTGTTTGGCAGCTGAGATCGTGGAGCCTGCGACATATCTCACGTACTGGTCCATCAGTGGAAACAGGGGGCAGTCAAAGAGCAGTCCAAACTTTTCAAGCGTGGTATGTGCTGGAAGCACATCAGCAGCAGCATCATCAGCATCATCATCACCACCATCATCACCACCACCACCACTGCTCGACACCTCGTCCTCAGATAGACCCAGCCTCACCAGCTGCTCACGCCTACCCTCACCAGCACCATCACACCGTCGTCTCAGCACCTCATCGACAAACTCGTCCCCGTGGAACTGCCTCAATTGATCTCGCGAGGCAGGCTGTACCGTCACGGTACTGCTACACTGGCTCAGCAGCCCATACGACTCAATCATCGAGCTCACAAGAGAGCTCCGCTGAGCATTGGCAGGCAGCTCGTCCGACAACGCTGTCAGCACACCTGAGTGGACAATGGCGACTGGTCTCATGCCCTCCAGCAGCCCTTGCTCCTCATCACCACCTGGTGAAGATGTCTATGCATTTTCGGGTATATTTCCCGATGCGGACGGAGCCTCTTCGCCTAAGCACATACATAGCACACCATCGGGGATCGTTTATATAAACCAATGGGCTCTCTCCGCCTACGCTGCCAACTCCACCTCCTCAGCTCAGCAGAGAGAAGAAGCTATGTATGGCTCAGTGGTGTCACAGGCAGGAATAACGGCCCAGAAGGCCCACCATCGGAGCCTTCGTGCCCTGGCTGCTGTGGCCGTGCTTATGCTGATGACATACCTCATCAGCTCCAAACAAGGGGACTCGTCGTTCCCAGCGTCGCCGTATCTGGACCACACGGTGCTCAGGCCTTCGTCCAACAGGTCAATTGAGCTGTACCACTCGCTGGCGTTCCGTGATGCCTCCTTGGAACGCTTCCAGAGGGCGCTGCGGATCCCCACGGAGGTGTACGATACTTGTTCTGATCCTCGAGACGGCCTTCAGGGCTGGGAGCCATTTCTGGAGCTCCAGAGGTACTTTGAGGACGAGTATCCCCTCGTCCATGCTCAATTGGACATCCACAAGGTCAACGAGCTGGGATACGTTGTCATTTGGAACGGTACTGACGATGCCTTGGCCCCGTTGCTGTTGATGGCTCATCAGGATGTTATTCCTGTTGAGAAGGACACCTGGGACCAATGGACATATCCTCCCTTCAGTGCACACTTTGACGGCACCAGGGTGTGGGCCCGTGGAGCTGCTGATACGAAGAACCTGGTTGTTGCTCTGTTTGAAGTGTTTGAGCAGCTGCTGAAGGATGAGTTCGTCCCCAAGAGAACCATGATCATGAGCCTTGGGTACGACGAGGAGGCCATTGGCCGTGTCGATGGTGCCAATTCGCTCGTCAGCTTCATCTCTGGCCTGTACGGAGAGAAGAGCCTGTACGCTGTGCTTGACGAAGGTGGCTCCGTGGTGGAGCTGGACGGAGTGCCGGTAGCTGCCGTTGGAGTCCGTGAGAAGGGCTATCTCGACATCAACATCGAGCTGGACACCACGGGAGGACACTCGTCCCGGCCTCCAGACCACACGGGGATCGGCATCATGAGCCAGCTCGTTGTCAGCCTCGAGGAGGAGCCCTTTGGGTCTAAATTGACCAGCGATAACCCGTTGTTGGACGTGCTACAAGTTGTCGGTGCAAGGAGTGAAGAGATCGACGACCTGACACGGGAGCT